AATTCTGGTATCTCAGATAATTGATACAACCTGAGGTTATTTTGGTTATTTAAGTTAAAACAAATCATGGTGGGCTTCCTATTGATTTGAATCCTAAGTCAAGGGTTTCTGTCTGTCACAACAAAGCCCGAGACACCTTATTTCATGTCTGTCTTGTCGCCCATTAACATTACCTTGACCACTTTGCTTTTTGGCCACTTCTTCCATTGCTTCTGAGTTCAGAGTCTCTTCAGTGTGAACCTCCCTCCTGAACCATTAGAAGTAGAAATAAAATCCACTGAAGTGATTATTATTGATTGGCACGTGCCCCTTACCAATCTTTTTTTAATTAATTATTTTTATTTTATGTGTATAAGTGTTTTGCCTGCATGTATGTAAGTTGCACCCATGTCGTACAGTGCTTGCAGAGGCCAGAAGAGGGTGTCCGATCCCCTCAAACTGGAGTTACTGATGGTTATTAGCTGCCCTGTGGGTGCTAGAAATCGAACTTAGGTCCTCTGGAAAAACAGCAAGTATTTGTAACCATTGAGTCATTTCTCCAGCCCCTCTTACCATGTTTTTAAAGAGTAATTTTTCATTGAAAGATTTAGTTTATTAATTATAACAAAAGATTCGTAACTGACTTGCCGGGTGTGGTGGTGCACACCTTTAATCCCAGCACTCGGGAGGCAGAGGCAGGCAGATCTCTGTGAGTTCTAGGCTAGCCTGGTCTACATAGTGAGTTCCAGGACAGCTGGGACTACAGGGAGACCCTGTCTCAAAAAGACTAAAAAAAGAAAGATTCGTAACTGACTCAATAGTGTTCTGAAAATAAAACACAGCTGTATTAGTCAGGATTTCTCCAAAGAAACAGAGCCAGTAGAATGAATATATATGTCTAGAGATTTATCAGCTTAGCTCACAGGATAGAGTCCAAGTAGTCCAACAATGGCTGCACCACACTGGAGAGGCTGAGAATCCATAGTCGCTCAGTCCACAAGCCTGAATGTCTCAGTAGTCCCAATCTGGCACTGAAGGTCTGACGAATTCCAAAAGATCAGCTAGTCTTCAGTCTACACCAGCAAGATGACTCACCAGTGAGAGAGAATGTAAGTAGCAAGAAGCCAGGCGTTCTCCTCTGTCATGGCCTTTTATACGGGCTGCCATCAGAAGGTAACACCCACATTTAGGGTGTGTCTTCCAGCTTCAGATGATCCAATCAAGAAGATATCTCTCATTTCAGTTAATTCCAGATCCAGTCAAGTTGACACCCAGGATTAGCCATCACAACAGCTTTGTGGTTGTGAAAAATATGTGTTCACAGCAAACATGGAGGTACATGCCTGTAGTCCTAGTATAAAGGAGGCTGAGGCAGGAAGATCCTGAGTTTGAGACCAGCCTAGGCTACACAGTGAAGGCCTAGCTTAAGAGCCCAAGAGCTGGAGATGTAGCTCAGTGGTAGATCCCTTGCCTAACATGCCCATGGCTCTGGGTTTAGTCCCCAACACTGTAAGAAAATGCCTTTGTATTATATCTCTGACCATTGCAACTTTACTACAGACATCTAGGTGTTTTCTGGGCAGAGTGTTTTCAGTTTAGAGTTCCTTAAGTCAGTGAAACTGATAGGAATAGTCCTAATGTATTGTATTACGTGCTGAATAAGGCCAATGACTTATCCATTCTCAAAAGAAACTGTCTTTTATCTTGACACACACAAAGCTATGGGTACCGGGGGCGAGACTGTCGTAATAACCTGTACTTGCTCCCGACGGGGGAGACGGTGTACTTCATCGCATCTGTGGTGGTGCTGTATAACGTGGAAGAGCAGCTGCAGAGACATTATGCGGGCCACAATGACGACGTCAAGTGGTGAGTCCTCAAACTGGGGTCGCCCTGACACAGGTGAGCTAGCCTTAACCAGAGGAGGCCAGCTCTGGAGCATAGGCTGGGAGGAAAGCTGCCTGTGCGGAGCTTTCTGTTCATGTTGACTCTGCAGGCCTCATTCACAGTTAGCTTTCTGTCCTCACTACATATCTAAGTGACCAGGTTATCTGAACAATTAGCTTTAGGAGACATCTGCTTGGAAGCATTCTTTACATACTGTAAGTTAAAGTCTTCAAGTTGGGTCTTTCATTTTTGATAAAGATAAAAATGTTTGTTTGTACTTACAGTTGAATCTGCTGTGCCCACAACTTATTTATAGCTTTAGGAAGGACCTTGGAATGATGGCCTGACTAGATAGAATTAGGAATTTGTAGTCATCCTGGACCCTTGAATAAAAAACCTGCTAACAGCTGGAGAGATGGCTCAGCGGTTAAGAGCACTGACTGCTCTTGCAGAGGACCAGGGTTCAATTCCCAGCACCCACATGGTGGCTACGAACTGTCCTTAACTCCAGTTCCAGGGGAATCCAAAACCCTCTTCTGACCTCCATGGCATTGCAGGACATGGGTGCACTCACATACATGCAGGCAATACACTCATACACATAAAATTAAAAGGGGCT